AAAAATTTATTTACAAAATCTGAGGCGTTACAATTGTGACCTCATATTAATTTGCACAATAATAATAAAAATTAGTGTAAAAATATAATAAATAATGGTCACACATAAATATAAGGGTTGTAAAAGCATGTCAAAATACAGACTTATCACGAAACATATGGCTCATATACCTCTCTAATGAGTTGGTAATCTTGTGTATGTCATGATATGCACTAGACTAGATCTTTCATATACTGTAAGTGTAGTAAGCATATTTATGAGCAAACTAGAATGATATAAAAATTAAGATACAAATTATAGCATATCATTTTTAATTTATTAAAGAATGATGTTAAATGTGTGTATCTGCCATCAAATTATTAATGTCCTTTATTATTATTCTTTTGAGGTAAAAAATTAAGATTGAGATAATAGAAAATTATTCTCAAACTAATGAGTCAAAGAGAAGAAAACATATATGTTTAATAAGGAGATAATGACTCAACTTACTAGATGAAACTAGAGACCTTTTTCATGTTTAAAAAGGTTGAATAGTTTAATTCATCACAAACTTTTTTTACTAAAGCCTAATTATAATATATTTATCCACTAGTCTTGTATAAGTTCAATAACTAATATCATTATTTATATTAATAATTTAATATATTTTTCATCTAATTTGAGCTCAAAATGCATCAAAAACCTAATTGTGACCTTATGTTAATTTGCACAATAATAATAAAATTAGTGTAAAAATATGATAAAATACTAGTCACACATAAATATATGAACTATAAAAGCACGCTAAAATATAGACTTATCATGGAACATATACCTTTGTAATGAATTGGTAATCTTGTGTATGTCATAGTATGTACTAGATCAGATCTTTCACATATTGTAAGTGTAGTAAGCATATTTATGAGCAAAATAGAATGATATAAAAATTAAGATATAAATTATAGCATATCATTTTTAATTTATTGAAGAATGATGTTAAATGTATGTATCTGTCATCAAATTATTAAAATTCTTTATTATGTTTTTTTAGGTAAAAATTAAGATTGAGAGAATAGAAAATTATTCTCAAACTTGATGAGTCAAAGAGAAGAAAACATATATATTTAACGGGGAGACAATGATTGAACTTATTAGATAAAATCAAATACCTCTTTCAAGTATTTAAAAGGTTGAATAGTTTAATTCATTATAAACTTTTTTGTTTTAACTAAAGTCTAATTATAATATATTTATCAATTGGTCTTGTATAAGTTCAATAACTAATATCATTATTGATATTAATAATTTAATATAATATTTTTTACTTCAATAACATTAGTTAATTATTAAAAATGTTTAAATTATGAAGAACAAAATATTACTATGATCAAAGTGCGTATTCACCAATAATTTTAAAAAATATATATAAGTATTAATACTATAAAATAAAGTACTTAATAGAAATATAAATTATATGCTCATATTTAATAAAATATATAATATCCAAGATGGTCCAAACATCTTAAATGCTATAAGATATATAATAATATAAATGACATCAATTTTTTATTTTGAACTTTAAATCAATTTTTTAAATAAGCATAAATTTAGTTAGTAGTATAAATAGTTTATAAATTATGGTATATAGAGCGTAAAAGTATATTTTAAAAATATTTTTCAACAAATTATTAATATTTTTAAGAAATAACATTTAAATTAAACACCATATCGAAACATTCTAAAAAAAAATTGTATAATATTTTCAAAAATATTTAAGACATACTAAATATTTTTTTAATATTCTAAAAAATTATCATCAAACATGATAAAAAAAATAAACAATTTTTAAAAACTAACAAAATTTACGATGTAATATGTGATTCAAAACCTAATAATTGACATAAGAAAACAATTGACAAAGGTACATGAGAGAGTCAATTATATGCTTTAGTGGAATGTTCTCAGAAAGCTTTTACTTCAATACGAAAATCTAGAGGATGTGCTGGTTTATAGCATCAAAGACTTGGACATCCAAATTGTTATGAATTTGTTAAAGGAAACGAAATGTTTTGTTCATTCCCGTAAGATGTTTAAAACCTTTAACTTGCACCAGATATTGAAAGGAAAATAAAAAAAGTAGTGAACTACCTTTTGATGTCAAAAATAACAATTTTATATATTTATTATTGATATAATATTTAGTATAAGTCATATAAGTATAAATTGATGTGCCACTTATATTGTAAATTTATATTTTTTTTATGAGTATTGTTTTAACATCTGTGATAGATAATTATGTAAAGAATAACATTGATCAGTATACTCATTTTTTAAGTTTTAATATAATATGGATGAGAGAAAAAAATTAATTATAAATACAAAAACTGTAACGAAAAAATGAAAATATTCAAAATATATGTTGAAATAAAACGACTTTTTCAGGATTAATGCATTTAAATATACAAAATCATTAATACACTTAAAAGAGGGCATTGTATGCCCCTTTATAATTACCAGGGCACAGTAGATTTTATCTAAAAAATATTTTAAAAAATAATTCTTTTTCAAATAACAATAGAGCTTTTAATTTGGATTAACTGGCCTAACGTGAGTAGTATATTTATGTGGGTTAGCTTCACAGGGCCCTCTGAGTTAGCATAAAAGGTTTAAAGTTATTTTTAAAATGATGATTCAAATATAATATTATGTAAGTTAACCCAAATAATAATAATAATAATAATATAAATCGATTCACATTAGAATCAATTTTTTTAGATAAAAACTTAATTAGACCAAACTTCAAAATTTTTTTACTTAAATTTAAATTTAATAGAATGAATTTAATATTTTAACAGATATATTGGAGATAATATGTAACACCTTATATTTCTTTCCTCAATATATGATAAAATTTCACAAATTTAAATGGTAAAGTAAATTTTCTTTCAAAAACTCTCTATCGAGAAAGAAACAATGAAATGATATAGGGTTCATAGAGTAAAATTTTAGTATTATAAGTACTTTTGAAAAACAAAGATTCTAAAATTTTCATCAGCAACAAAAAGAAATAGTAGTTTTACAACTGTTTCAAAAGAATGCTATAAAACTGAAAATATTCATTACATAACTCAAAATAGTATTCATTACATACTATTCCTCCTAGTTTCTTGAAAATGTTGTGTAAGGGTGAGTCTCTACCTTACCACTCATACATAACACATATTCATCATAAAACACATCTTATCATGATTAAAGAAAACATCATGGCATTACATATCACAGTGTCTTATAAAGCATTTTCTCATCTCAACACATATTATATTCCATAGATTCATAATTTCTTTTACTTTTATCTGCGCTTTTTGCGCCCTGTGGCCATAGTTATTCGATGCCTCTATCCCGAGGTTTTACACATCCATGTAAATAGTCGCCAGATGGCACAATGCAATACGAATACAATGCATGCAATAGACAGCCCCTTAGCAAAGGTAATGGTCAGTAGTCAAGTCCGGAAACGAGTATGCGACCATGTGGTGCATTCATACATAATATTTCATGCACAATCCCGAATGTCACTCACCACCCTACATTTTCTGAAGATATCTCATATCGTCTCCATCTTCCACTCTTCTAGTGTATCTATGTAACTATTTACATAATATCTTTTTCCATCTCATACTCTTTCAAGTATATTCACATGTTCACATATGTCATTTCTCATGTTCACACATATTTTTCATTATATTTCCACATACTTTTCATCATATACACCAAATCATGGCATATTCACAATACACATCATTTTTACGTGAAACACAATATATTCAAACATGAAACATCCATCTCTTTGTATATTTCATATCACAAAATCATAAAATCATATCAATCATCCTCAATATACCCTATCATGCACTATTTGAACATAATATTCATTTTCACCATGTATTCATCATAAAATAAAATCACATAAATAATCAATTATTCCCACTTTTCACCGATTATTTTTCATAAGACAAGGATTATTCCACATATAATCACATACATGACAAGATCTATGAGAATACAAGTAATAAACATAACAAAATGATAAAATAGAGCCCCTTACCTCAAAACAGAGGTTTTACAAATATTTAACTGAAAATTTAACTTTAGAACGAAGTTTTTTCTAAGAACATCATGAACATCTATAAGAAAAAGAAGAATAAGAGAAACAAACAGTAAATCTAACTTAAAACTTAGAGAAACTTACTTGAAATCCTTTAGAACAGACGTAAAATCACAGATCTGAAGAAAAATCTAAGTTTAGGAGGGTTTAGTATGAAAGAAAATGGTGAAATATAGCCTTAGAACCTTTGATAGGAGTAAAGAAATGAAAATTTCGTGTAAAACTCCCTTTTTATAGAAAATTTTTGAAATTCATTATTCACCATTAGAAGCACTGTTTACTGCCTTACTGTTCACGCTGGAAACACTGTGCACACGTACTGTACACGATTTATACATGATTTTACTGTTCATACACCGTTTGTACGCGATTTTTCTATTTTACTGTTCATCGATACTGTTCATATATATATATATATTTTAATTTTTTAATTTATTTATTTTTAAATATAAATTCTATCCAAATTTATTCCAATTATATTTAAACAAACTTTATTTTATTTAAATCAAAGTGCAAGATATTACATAATACATGAATTCTACGACACACCCCGGTCATCATGCATGAGCTTAGCATCTTTTGTAGTTACGTAGTGATTCATCCTACCTATTATTGCATTTTCAATTGACACGACAAATTAACTTTGAATTGCCTAAACCGGGTGCTAGTATGAGGCAAGCTTGGATGATTAAATCAACAAATTAAAACCTTTATTAGAAACTGTTGTCTTGACAACTTTCTTTTCCAACTAAATCATCATAAAAATATCTCATTGCCCTTACTTGAAAAAAAAAAAAAAAAACTCAGTCCACGCGCATGCAAGAAGATGTCTCCGTCAAGATTTGAGGCAATCCCATCACAGTTTGCAAATGGGAATTACCTCTTCAATATCACCATAAAAATATTTCTTGAAAGCATCCATGTGAGACGCCTCTAAAGAAATCGCCACAACGAGGCCATTGCCACTAGCATTATTCATAACAAATGCTTTCCCTTCAGAATCCATGTACCCGGGGCCAAAATACATAGGCTTTCCCCATCCAAAATCCGCTTCCTTAAACGAGAAATTCATCCAACTAACCACAAAAAGGTTTGGGTTCCCTTTAAAGGTTCCCTTATGCACACTTGGAGCAGGGTAATGAAAATTGTACCTTAACAAGTTTATGTCCTTCTCCTTTTCTATGTGATTAAGTGCTGACCCCACATACTCCCCATTCACTCTTTCAAGCGCTTTCCTAACATTTCCTGCCGCATAACTCAAAGGCCTATGCATAAGTTCACCAAAGGAAGATGTTGGTGTTACGGTAGGAAATGCTACATTTCCTGCATAAGCACTTGGAAGGGGTGGCCTTAACCGGTTCCTACAGTTAACCAAAGTGGACACCCTCGTAGGTTGGTCACAATTTTCCACATAACGTGCTTTGCTCACACACCTCCACAAGTAACCCGCAGTAACCTCAAAAGTTGAATAAGGTTTTGTGTTTGTATTTCCCACATATCGTGCCTTGTTTTTAAGTTTCTTGACTTGTTCTTCCGTGAGTTTCACTATCGCAACCACTACCTCAGTGTTTTCCAAGGCACCTAACCAAAGAGGCGGTGTGTAGAACTCTGAATGGTCATGCAACACAGAATTAAGCTTATGCGAATTTAGCATAGTTCGATCATGGCATGGCATTTCTCTGTGGTACTCCAAATGCTCCCCTCTAGCCAACTTTGCCCACGTGCTCATGAACCTCATGGTTGCGGTTCCATCTATTGAAGCGCGACACAAAGCCACCCCAATGGTGACACCACCACAAGGGAACCTTGTTAGTTGTGCAACTAGAAGTGGCACCTCCTCAATGGGGACATTATAATCAATGTTGGGTATGAGTTGTGACACCAAATGGGTAGGCACGAAATCACCCAAATCGTCCAAATTCACTTCTTTGCAATTGGCTTCTATGATTTGTGCTCCCTTGGCATTGCAATTAAGTTCCCATCTTTCTCCTTCGATCCAACTCAACCTACCCGCAAGTGGGTAATACAAAACCAAGGCTTGGCTCAGAGAATGCTTGAGGGTGTTAACAAAGGTTGATCCATTGGGATGGTGGTCTGGTTTGTACACAAAAAGAAGAGGAGCGTGGGTGCGAAGCTTTATTTGTTCGCACAAGGAGTAGAATTTTGTGTTGGGGGTGGGTTCAGAAGGGAAAATTGTGTAACAAGATTGAACGCTGGCCATTCTATCTGGTTGGTTATTTTCTTAGGAATGGTTGTTTTTCATTCCATTCAGTGTTTTAAAAGGATTGTGTGATGTGACGCTTAATGATACTATAGCAGCGTAAGCGGTGAGGTATATTACTCCAATATATGGAACATTGTTCATGCTACCGCCATCTTTGTTGAAAAGACGTTAGGACTGGTTCAGTGTTCAACTGCGTGATGTGATTCTATTTTTCATCCATCTACAGTGACATAATTTTTTAAACATTTATTAATTTATTTTAAATATCTTTTTATAAATTAATTTATTTTAAAATTATTTTAATATTTTTAAAATTAAACAATTATAAATTATATTTAAAAATAAAATTTGGTTAACCTCAACTTTTAAAACTGAATTTAAATATCTATAAATAAAATTTTTTATAAAAAAATATATAATTCTTATATTAAAGCTATAAAAATATAATAAATATTTTTTAATAAAATTTTATTATTATTAACTGTTTATCTTCAATTCTAAAAGTCAAGTTAACAAAATTTTTAAAAATATATCTTAATAGCTTCATTAATTTTATTTATTTATTTATTATTATTATTAATTTTAATGGAAATAATAAAAAATAATGATAAAGTTAAAAATAAATAATTAATAATTTATTAATTTTCTTAAGAGATGATTTGGAACAAAATAAATTTTAAAATGAACAAATAAAAGGAAGATAAGAAAAATTAAGTTAACAAATTTACCTAACATCATCCTAATTATTTAAAACAAATTCTTAGAAAATAATTATTAGATCTTAAAAGAAAAACATTAACCAATTTTTCCTTAACTAAGTCGCATAATTTAAATGAATTCATTATATGAATTTAATATTTTCCATATGTCCAATATTTCTTTATCTAATTAGCAGAATTCAAATGAACTCATTGTATGGATACAATATTTTCCATGTATGCGTGCGTGTGTGGAGACCTTTTTATTACATAGATGTAAATATCGTTAATTATAAAACATATTTTTTATTAATTTAACTGTTTAAACTATAAATTATCTTTATCATTTATATATAGAGAGATCAAGTTATATTGCTATTAAATTATTTACATTATTTATGTCAAATTTTATTAAAATTAAACAACTAAAATATTACAATCAAAATATTTTTATTTTTACATATTTTAAATGTATATACTACTTTAAATTTAATGGGTACGAAAAAGGTATAAAATAATTTTAAATCAATCATGATTAGAATTTTTTATTTAACAATTAGTTTTAAAAATAAACTATTTAATAAAAGTTATTAAACGGTGTGACAGTGTATTTGATATTAAATTGCTTAGATTATGGGGAAAAAGCATGTGCCGTTGTTGGTCATCCATTCAACAGGTTTCACAACGCCAAAAGCCTCCATTCGCAGATACAATACAAGGGTATCAATGGCATTCATCTTTTGGATGTTTTTGTCGAGTGCTTCGCCAATATCGGGGTTTTAGAAGCTCTTAAAATCTCAAAAGAAATATTTTATAAATCCGGGATCAAGTTTCTGTAGCAAACCTAAATTACCTTAACAACGGAGAATATTATTTTTACAGCTAAAATATCAATAGAGAAACCATAAGATAGAAGTTGCATGTTTATCGTTTAGAAATAAGATTATGGGAACTAAGGCCTCATCTACACTCTTGATGTTTAAAAAGAAAAAGAAAAATGTATATTAATTATCAGAATTAAATGTATCAATTCGTTATAGAAAAATTAAAGATTTTGTGACTTATATCCACACATTAAAGCGATGAAAAATAATACACTTTATATGTCCGAACTGAATCAATCAAATAATATTCTATATCTGAAATGAATAAATCAGAATACTAGATAATATCTCCCTAAAAGTGGGCAATGAAGATCATAAAGACCTAGGTTAGTAAGAAATTAAGTAAATGAAGTAGAATAAAGAGGTTTTGTGAAAGCATCAGCTAGTTATTGAGAAGGATTAACAAGAAACAAATGAATGAAGCCAGATTGTATTTTCTCTTGTACCACATGACAATCAATTTTAATATGTTTTGTTCTCTCATGTAAGGTGGGATTATGGGCAAGATAGATGGCTGATTTATTGTCACAATAAATCGAAGCTGGATCAAACAAGTGTATATGCAAATCCTCCAATAAATATTTAAGCCATTGAATTTCACATGTGAGACTTGGCAAGGCTCTATACTCAACCTCAGAAGAAGACTTAGAGATAGTATTTTACTTCTTGGATTTCCATGAAATGAGAGAAGAGCCAAGAAAAACACCATAACCTATAACAGACCTATGACTATCAAGGCAATAGGCCTAGTCAAAGTCAGCAAAACCATAGAGTTTCAAATTTGAATAAGTTGGGAAGAAAAGACCTTTAGCTAGAGCTACTTTTAGATATTTTAATACTTTGGTTGCTACCTTAAAATAAGTATCTAAGGGTTGAAAAACAAATTGACTAAGTTGTTGAACTGAATAAGAGATATCAAGTCTAGTAGTTGTCAAATATAACAATCTGCCAATTAATCTTCTATAAGTTGTTGTATAAGAAAAAAGGTTTACCTCAAGAATTTTCGGCAACGGCGTCAATTTTTTAATTAATCTTCTACAGAATTGAAAAAAAACATTTTTTTCCTTTAAATTTTTCAATTCTGCATTTCATTTTTGTCTTTAATTTTCTGCACTTTGCTTGTTGTATTCTACATTTTTCTGCATTTGTTTTCTGCTCTATTTTTTTTTTCTTTCAGTTTTTAGTTTTCTGCTGCATAATTCTGCATAATTTTTTGCTGCATCATTTTCTGCACTTTTGCAATTCTGCATTAATTTCTGCACTTGCATTATGTTTTCGCATAATTTTTCTGTTTTGATATTCTGCATAATCCTACATATGTTCTATACTTGTTCTGTTTCTAGTCTATTTCAAATTTTTGCATACTATTTCTGCGTATATTTCTTTTTTTGCACAATTTCATCAAATTCTGCATAATTTTTTGCTACAACATTTTCTGCATTTCTTTTTTCTGCATCACTTTGCTGCATATTATTTTTGCATAATTTTGCAGCTTTTTAGCTAGACTCTTCTCATTTTGATTTAGATATTATGGCTGAGAAAACTTTAAGAGAACTTGTTTCACCTGATGTATCTTTTCAGACATTATGCATCCAATATCCTAATATAGATACACCTTGTGTGCTTAAGTCTGGATTGATTCATTTGTTGTCCAAGTTTCACGGTCTTGCAGGTGAGGATCCATTTAAACACCTCAAAGAATTCCACATTGTTTGTACCACCATGGGACCAGCTGGAGTTCCTGAGGATCATATAAAGTTGAAAGCATTCCCATTCTCATTGCAAGACATAGCCAAGGATTGGTTCTACTATTTACCATCTGGATCAGTCACTAGCTGGGATGGTCTAGGAAGAATGTTTTTGGAAAAAAATTTCCCTGCATCTAGAGTGACTTTAATCAGAAAAGAAATTTGTGGTATAAGACAAATGGACAAAGAGAGTTTGTATGAGTATTGAGAGAGATTCAAGAGGCTTTGTGCCAGTTGTCCACATGATCAAATTAATGAGCAGCTTCTTATCCAATACTTCTATGAAGGTCTTATATCCATCGATAGACAGATGATTGATGCAGCCAGTGGAGGAGCCTTGGTAGACAAAACTCCTATTGCAGCAAGGCAATTAATTGAAAACATGGCTTCTAATAATCAGCAGTTCAACACTAGAAGCAATCCAGTGCCCTTAAATAGTGGAGTTTATGAGATAGAAAATACTCATGTTGCTGATCATAGAAAATTAGAGGACAAGTTAGATGATTTAGCTTCATTGATCAAGCAATTAGCATTGTCACAAAGAGCTGCAAGGTTATGTGAGATATGTGCTTCACATGAACACCCCACTGATTATTGTCCTACATTGTATGAATCTGTAGGTTGGATGAGTCACTCGAACTTGAAATGGGGGAATTTTACACAACAGCAACAACATCAACTTCTACCACAAACTGCTGCACCTTGCAAGAGTGAGCCTTTCTTGGAAGAATTGATGAGGGAAATGGTAGTTAATGATCAGAATTTCCAACAGAGAATAGAAACAATCATTCAAAACTTGGAAAATCAGATTGGACAGTTGAGTTCTACTTTAAACCATTTACAATCTCAAGGTTCTGGTAATCTATCTGCACAACCACCTATCAATCTAGAGGACACTCGTGCCAACACCTTGAGATTAGAAAAGACCATTCAAGACTCGTAAGAGCAGTAACCAACTAATGAAGATCTTAATGCTACTACTCTAGCAAGTGATTGCAACAAATATAGCAGCCCAGCAAGTGCAAATTATGCTCCTACTCCTTGTGCTATTTCTACTAATGCAGTAGAAAATTTTGAGCAATTTGCTCTGCATTCATTTCATTCAATTTGCCATATTGATTTGTTGAATGATTTAGTTGATGATAATTTGGCTGAGTTTTCTGAATTTTCAGATTGTATTAATTATTCTAACTTAGCCAAATATCCTGATTCTTTTACTTGTGATGGTTGTACTGATTCTGCAAAATGTAGCTTTTGTACTTAAATTGATACATATGTGTATGGTGTTTTTCATGTAGCTATTGCAAATTCTAAGGAAGCAAATCATGATGCAGCCATTGCAAGTTCGAAGAAAATGAATCATAATGCATTTGTTGAAGTGCAAGCTGCACATCCATCTCCAATTTTTACATTACCTCCTGCATCAGAATTGAAGCCTTTGCCTGAGCTCTTGAAGTATGAATATTACATCCTTGTATATCCAAGAGAGCAGCAGCCTAAGTATAGCAGCAGGACATCATATTCTAAACATCAAGGCAATGAAGAGCATGAAGACAAGCTCATTGAGTTAATCAAGCAACTGAATGTCCCTCTGCGGTTATTTCTTCCACATTCCCAATTAAATGAAGTGCTGCAGATTTATGAGAAAAAAAAAGGAATATCTAGGG